CTGTAGCAGTGCAGGTATGAGGCCCAAGCTAATAAACTTATCTGAGTTTATTAGCTTGGTACCCACTTTATCCCACCCCGCACCTCACCCCTAATGGTGGCATAACTCATTACTGTATTCCCTTACTAGTTAGGAACTGTCACACAGGAGGATGATAGCAATGACACAAGAGAACCAAAAGCTTTTGTGCGGTATTCTTCCTTATCCAGAAAAGCCATTCTTTTCCTGACTCCCTCCCTCCCAGTTTGGTCTCTAACACTTTTTGAGTTTGTGCAAGAAAAATTGAAAGACTGCTCAGTGTGCTGACTCCAGAATTCTCTGATATAAAAAGTGCTGAAGTTTGTTATGCTAGTATCTAGAAATGTAAGAGAGAGACCGCGTGCGCCACGTCCACACCTATTGTGTCAGTCTGATGTAAATGCAAAAAAAAAATTAAAAATTAAACGCACTTTCTTCTTTCTTGTACAGGAATCACCTGTTCAACTGGATGCTACCGTAATCACCAGTTAATAAAGCAGCCATGAAAGGCAAGCCCCCTTTCCGTAGGCAGGCATTTCCACAAACACCGGCTGGCACAAGCACTGACAAGCCAGCAGAAATCCCATCTTTACTTTCACAGTGTCCTATTTCAGGTTTAACAAATTAGTCTGAAGGTGACATCCCATTATAAGCTCACATATAAACACAAGAGATCTTTTTTTTAAATTTAACTAGTGTACAACAGGATTTCCTTCCTATAATAAGGACAAGGGAGAGAAAGCAGAGCTATCAAAACAAGACAAGGAATCTTCTCCTGCTATTTATCCAAAGCATAAACAACCGACTGGGTTGCCTTCCACAGAACGTGTTGTAAACCTTGGTCTTAACCTCATTATGTTATCGCCATGGTGTGACATTGACCAGGCATGTGCCCTTTGCAATTGCCAGTAAAGTGACAGAAGCATTTTCCTCTCAGCTTCCTATCTTAGGCAGTCTATAGTTTTATTCCTTAATGTAGGTTATCTCTGTTCTATTGCATAATTGCAGGGATAACAAGCAAAAAGCCTCCATATCAGTTACAGCCTCTCATGCAGGCTAACTTTAATTCCCCTCAACCTAACTCCAATTTTCCTGACTGCATCAAGCAAATACATAACTGTTCTTTGCACAGAGTCATGCACGAGCTTTCTTTACTTGTAAATTTAAGCAAAGTCTCAGCAGAGTTCATTAATACCAAAAAAAATTTTGCACTCAATACAACTCCCCTCCATTTGTGAGAGTTCAGTAGTTTTCCAGTGAACATACTGCAGAAGTAAAACATAAAAACTGCTGAAGCCAATTTCAAGCGTTTGTTATTACTACATTATATTGTTCTGGCATATTTTCTTAAAGGCAGTGAAAAAGACACTGCAGTGAGCATAAAAATATGAAATCTCGGTGTTAGTATAAATGTGCATTTGAAAAATGAATGTGCTTCACAATCCAAGTTACAATCCCTAGACTTGATAAAAATGGCTTGAGGATTTATAGGAATTATTATTATAGGAAGGCAGATTGCAGAGCACCAGTCAGAATATCCGTGTGGTATTTGGCCTAAACTTGCAATATGTAACAGCTAATCACAATTCTTCGCTAACACGAAAGGGAAGGAATTATTAATTGGACTCTTCTGTATTTAGTTCCAATGCTCACATTTATTACTGTGGCATCATATCAAATAGGTCTTGCACCTAAAGACAAGGCTTATTAAAACAGAGATATGACTACAGGTTACTGGTTTTGTAGAGGCAAATGAGGCATGTATCTCTTCAAGCCTTCTGTGGAAGTGATGCAGCAATAAGTATGCCCTATTTCACCAATGGCTGATCACATCTGTGAAATTCATATGGTGCAATTATTTGTCAAAACATTATTTAGCTATCTTTTTTTTTTTCTACTTCTACAGAGAGAAGGAAAGAAGACACACAATTCAGAATTCTTTTCTCTCACCACCCTCGACTCCATTAGCTTGTTAAAAACAACTGATCGAATTTTTACCTCAGCCCCCAAAGAAAACATTGTTTGAAAAGTTATGATGAAACATTAGAGAAGGAATACTCGGACCCTAAGGGTAAAGTGGCAGCTTATTGGAAAACTGCTTTGTCACTTTCAGACCTCGTAAAACAGTTACTATCCATCATATGTTTTCTGTACATAGTTTCTTCGTGTCCTAGGAAGCAGGGGTGGCTCAGGAAGCCAGGGATGTGGGAGTTTGTGTGGCAGCTTTACCCCTAAAAGACCTCAATTGCAAAATGGAAATGAATCAAGAGTTCTTACACAAGTGGAAGTTTCTTCTGGGAAGTTTGGAAGATTCTGTATACATTCCATCAGACTCACACTTCTGCACAGTACACACATCTGTGCATGCTTATTAAGCTACGTCCACACATTGCAGACACACTCCTTTCCTGTTTCAGATTATAGCCTTTGGAACTCTAGACTTCATGGCTACAAAATAAATCTCATTGCAAAATACATGCTCACAGGTAGGAAAAAAAAAATTTAAAAGAATAATCAAGTGAGTACATGAGCTTTTACAAGAACATATTATTAACTCCAGCTTCTTTTCAGTCACTTCCATGAACAGTTTGGCTCTTTGAGAGTAAGGTCCCACTCTCCTGCAGTTTCTGCCATCTGGAATAGCTTTTCTTTAACTCTGAGTTTCATCTATTTTCTCATCCCATTCCAAAACACAACTAACACATATTTTCACCCTTATCTCACCCATTTGCCTCCACTTCCCCTCCCTATTGCTCAGTACTTTACTCACTGATCACAACATATAACTTCACAACTCCATGAAAAGTTTCAGAAGGCAGCATATGACATACACTCCAAAAGTTTGTTTCCCAACAGCAGTATATACCTACCAAGATATATGTATATCACCCTGAGAAAACAAAACAGAACAAACCAAACCCAAAACCAAAACACACAAAACTCAACAACCACAACCAGGGACTAACAGGAGATCACTAAACGAAAAGCTACCAAGCAGTCAGAGCTTCAGGGTTTTTCTATAGTGTAGAATAGAGCCTTAATTCCACTAGTGCAAGACCCTCACGGGATACCAAGTATCCCATTTTCCATCTTGAATTACTTTTTCTATTAAGATCCAAAGAACAAAGTGTAGTCAAGCAGACTCCCCATTTTACCTTCTTCACCCCTTAATTCCATGAAACAGAAGTTTAGATAAATTAACAATGCCTCCTCATCCTCAAGGCCTACACCGTTTATAAACTTTCCCAAGATGATAATTCTTGCTTGGCTATTTGGGGGTTTTCTTTGGTTGTTTGGGGGATTTTTGTGTTGTGGGTTTGTGGTGTTTGTTTTTTTTTTTTAAATCCTACTCACGGACAACAGGAGCGTTTTGATAGACTGACCAAATCCAAATGATGCAAAAGATGTCTTGGAAAACAGACGCAGAATAGCAACTCAGCTCATAAATTTTCTGATAGTAGAACAGTTTCAATATACCTCATTCATTTATTAATATATTCCCAAACTAGTATTAGCCAGCAATCTCTTCACTGAAATAAAGCAAATACCCGTACCCGCACCCAGTTAAGACAAAATTAAGTCTAACCCTCAACTTTGTTTTGTTTTCCTCTTTCAACCTTGCAAGTCAGAACGAGCAAGAAACAACATACTGTCTTTTATAACCAGAGGATCAATTGAATCTGTTTTATTAAAAGATACTCATTTTTGAAAGGTACTATACTGAAGTGTTTTAAACATACACACCACAATTCATCATTGTTAAACACTAAGTCATGCTAACAGATAGCAGCAAAAGAGAAACAAGACCAACTCACATATTCTGCAAATATAGAGAATAGCTAAAGTTAACGATCACTTATCTCCTCCTGCTCCCATTTTTAAACTTCTTTAAGGAGTCCCAGTGGAAAAAACATCACAGTACAATTTTTTTTCTTCTTTTTTGTTTGTTTTTAAACACAGAAGTACTGTTCCAGCAAAGTCCCGAGGTTCGCAATTTGTTTTAGACAACTACAAAAGATATTTAATCAAATGACTGACTTCCAAGAACAGCATGGATCATTTTAATTACAACGTCTGTCAGCCATCCCAATTATCCCCACTTTGGAAGTATGACTTTTGTTTTCCTCCTCCGTTGCTCTAAAATTTCTTATGTCTCAGTAAATTTTAATCAGGAAATAACATCCCAACTGTTAAACTCTGGGAGCAAGTTTTCATCCTGATCCAACCAGACAAATAGGAGATTTGTTCACAAATTTGAGAGGAAGAAAAATGCTTTCTGCTAATTCAGTGAATTGCGTCCCAGAGCTGTTTTGTGTTGTGCCCTTACTGAACAGAATTTTTTGCTATGACTTCATGCTTAGTCAAAAATAAACACTCTTGCCTTTTTATATGGACAGCTCTATCGCAAATTACCAACGTTGGCATCACTGGTGACAGAGGAAAAGCTATATTCCCCCAACAAGCGGGAAGGAAAAAAAAAAACCAACCAACAAACCAACCCAAAGCCACAAACATTGTTCAACCAAACAAACATGTCTGTGAAATGCAAGCGTTAATGTACTTCCTAGAAATTAGTTATCAAGCTGTGCTCTCATGTATCACTTGAGAGAAGGAGAGTATTGATTTCACAATGGCACTTTCGTAAGACAAAACCCACCATATAATCCGTGATCATAAGATTTCTTCCACAAATACCTGCAGTTTAAAACTTACCAAGCACTTTGCAGCATGCAGAAATTTGTTAACCAAAAGATCACATACAGCACCCGCGCAATTTTTGGAACATTCTTTTCTAAAGCCAGCTCAACCGAAGCACGTGCTAACATGAATAGAGGAGACATAGCACTCAAAAAAACAATTTTTATTTTATTAGATTATCATATTTGGTGGATATATTTATGTTCTCTAGCTTCAAAAGTCTCTCTGGTCAGTTTTAAAAAGGACTTTCAAAATAGTAAGACTAAACACCATCAAGGACTTACCAGATTGGAATTGGTGGCATTGGAATCATCTTCTGGAAAGGGGATATAGATAGCTAAGGCCACACAATTGGCAAAAATAGTCAGTAAAATAATTATTTCAAATGGTCTGAGGAATGGAGTTAAGGAAGTTGTTCCAAAGTGTGCATACAAAATAAAATTAAAAAAAAATTAAAAAAAAGATTTAAGAATTCTGTTTAAAGAAAACATTCCAAGCCCCTTATATTCTGAAAAGAAACATATGCCTTTTTAAGTGCTTTTAGGAGCTCCCAGCCAAGAATCTTCCTAATATGTCAAAAGCAGTGTAGGCCAGTCGCGTGCCAGAGTAAACACAGATTTCTTAAAAGTTTTTTCTTCTTTTATTTATTTAGATTGCATTTTCCCCATTTTCCTTCAAGTGTGGCTGTACTATTTTTAATAGCAGAAGCTGGTTCTAGAAGGACTGTCATCTTTCCTCTTACGATTAGTTTCTCTCAGTCTTTTCCATCCGCATTTACAAACCCTGAAATAATTTTAAAAAAAAGCTTTGGGGATTTTTTGTTGTTGCTGTTGTATTTCTTTTTCACCTTTCTCAATCTCTCTCTCATATCTCAACATTAAATGCAAGAGCCCAAGAAATACTTGCATAGATTCAGTTAGAAGACATTTAAACGATGGTAAAGTTTGTTAAGGCAAAAAAAATAGCTTTGTCCAAAACACGCTTATACTGTTCATTGCCATGGATACTTGTTTTGCTTAAAAATTTTTTGAGG